CTAATTAATCAGCTGATGCTACTAATTAATCAGCTGATGCTACTAATACAGCAGCTGATGTTAGTAATTAGCTGGTTTAACGAGCTGAAGTCCACATGTACTGCAGCTTGTTGCAACTGTTGGCTTCAAACCAGCACGCCCAGTGTGGCCACAGCGGTAAAAAGACAAACTAAACAGATAGTATCAGGTATCCCATCAAAAAGAATTTAAACTGTAGGACGAGTAGGACAAATCAGATTCAGTTTTTGGACAATTGAGTCAAAGCTCACACTTTAATACCTTAGAGAGCTTTTGTGGCTGCTCTTCAGCGAATCTCTGATAAATGTCCAAACAAAGGGAGGAAAGTCGTCCCTCCCCAGATAAGATGTGATGCCTGCGTGCAGGAAGAGGAGTGCCTGAAGGTAGGAGAACGGTGAACATCTCAGCTCCACATTCATCTACCTCCTGCAACACAACAAAGACAAAGGGACAAAAGATGATGAAGGGTGGAAGTGGTTCCTGTTCAAGATTAAAGGCCTGATGCCTTCTGTTCAGGCACAGTGCATCGTTTGGAGTTTTAGTCACAACAAATCTTTTCACGATGCATTAAAGCTTATTTCATGGTTACAAATATTGACTGAATTGAATCAGACCGACTCCAAAAGTCAGTTTTACATGTTCACAAAACTGAATGCAATGATGTAGAGATGGAAAATGTCAATATTTTATTCGTAATATAACATAGATGACAGATCAAAAGTTTAATCTGAGTAAATGTAACATTTTAAAGTAAAATATGTTGATTCAAAATTTCACAGTGTCAACAAATCCCAAAAAGTTGGGACAAGTAGCAATAAGTGGCTGGCAAAAGGAAATTGAGCATATAACGAACAGCTGGAAGACCAATTAACACTAATTAGGTCAATTGACAACATGAGTGGGTATAAAAAGAGCTTCTCAGAGTGTCAGTGTCTCTCAGAAGCCAAGATGGTAAGAGGATCACCAATTCCACCACTGTTGCGCAGAAAGATAGTGCAGCAATACCAGAATGGTGTTACCCAGCGTAAAATAGCAAAGACTTTTAAGTTATCATCATCAACCGTGCATAACATCATCAAAAGATTCAGAGAATCTGGAACAATCGCTGTGCGTAAGGGTCAAGGCCGTAAAACTCTACTGGATGCTCGTGATCTCCGGGCCCTTAAACGTCACTGCACCTCAAACAGGAATGCCACTGTCAAGGAAATAACAGAATGGGCTCAGGAATACTTCCAGAAAGCATAGTCAGTGAACACAATCCACCGTGCCATCCGCCGTTGCCAGCTGAAACTCTACAGTGCAAAGAGGAAGCCATTTCTAAGCAAGCTCCACAAGCTCAGACGTTTGTACTGGGCCAGGGGTCATTTAAATTGGAGTGTGGCAAAATGGAAGACTGTTCTGTGGTCAGATGAGTCACGATTTGAAGTTCTTTATGGAACACTGGGACGCCATGTCATCCGGACCAGAGAGGACAAGGATAGCCCAAGTTGTTATCAACGCTCCGTTCAGAAGCCTGCGTCACTGATGGTATGGGGTTGCATGAGCGCTTGTGGCATGGGCAGCTTGCATGTCTGGAAAGGCACCATTAATGCAGAGAACTATGTTCAGGTTCTAGAACAACATATGCTCCCATCTAGACGTCATCTCTTTCAGGGAAGACCCTGCATTTTTCAACACGATAATACCAGACCACATTCTGCAGCAATCACAACATCATGGCTACGTAGGAGAAGGATCCGGGTACTGAAATGGCCAGCCTGCAGTCCAGATCTTTCACCTATAGAGAACATTTGGTGCATCATAAAGAGGAAGGTGCGACAAAGAAGGCCCAAGACGATTGAACAGTTAGAGGCCTGTATTAGAATGAATGGGAGAGCATTCCTATTTCTAAACTGGAGAAACTGGTCTCCTCTGTCCCCAGACGTCTGTTGAGTGTTGTAAGAAGAAGGGGGGATGCCAGACAGCGGTAAAAATGGACTTGTCCCAACTTTTTTGGGATTTGTTGACGCCATGAAATTAGGAAACAACAGATTTTTTTTTTCCCTTGGGGGAGGATGCCGGTCAGACCTGGCAGACCCAAACGTATTGTGAGGGTTTGCTGGGAACGTCTGGCAGAGTCTCCTGTGAGACGGAGTTTTAACTCCCACCTCCAGGAGAACTTCAAACATGTTCTGAGGGAGGTGGTGGACATTGAGTCTGAGTGGATCATGTTTCGTGCCTCTATTGTCGAGGCGGCTTACCAGAGCTGCGGCCGCAAGGTTGTTAGTGCCTGTCGCGGCGGCAACCCTCGAACCCGATGGTGGACACCGTCGGTGAGGGATGCTGTCAGGCTGAAGAGGGAGTCCTATCGGGCCTTTTTGGCCTGTGGGACCCCGGAAGCAGCTGATGGGTACCGGCAGTCCAAGCGACATGCGGCTCGGGTGGTCGCTGAGGCAAAAACTCGGGCATGGGAGGAGTTCGGAGAGGCCATGGAGAATGACTTCCGCACGGCTTCAAGGCGATTCTGGTCCACCATCCGGCATCTCAGGGGGGGAAAGCGGTACGCCACCAACACTGTTTATATTGGGAGTGGTGTGCTGCTCACTTCAACTCGGGATGTTGTGGGTCGTTGGGCAGAATACTTTGAAGACCTCCTCAATCCCACCGGCACATCTTCCACTGAGGAAGCGGAGCCTGGGGACTCTGGGTCGGGCCCTACAATCTGGTGCTGAGGTCACCGAGGTGGTTAAAAAGTTCCTTGGTGGCAGGGCCCCGGGGGTGGATGAGATCTGCCCGGAGTTCCTTAAGGCTCTGGATGTTGTAGGGTTGTGTTGGCTTACGCAACTCTGCAATATTGCGTGGACATCGGGGGAAGTTCCCCTGGATTGGCAGACCGGGGTGGTGGTCCCCCTATTCAAAAAGGGGGACCGTAGAGTGTGTTCCAACTACAGGGGAATCACGCTCTTAAGCCTCCCTGGTAAGGTCTATTCGGGGGTTCTGGAGAGGAGGGTCCGTCGGATAGTCGAACCTTGGATTAAGGAGGAGCAGTGCGGTTTTCGTCCTGGCCGTGGAACACTGGACCAGCTCTACACTCTCAGCAGGGTCCAAGAAGATGCGTGGGAGTTTGCCCAACCAGTCTACATGTGCTTTGTGGACTTGGAGAAGGCGTTCGACCGCGTCCCTCGGAGAACCCTGTGGGGGATACTCTGGGAGTATGGGGTACTGGGCCCTTTGATATGGGCTGTTAGGTCCCTGTATGACCGGTGTCAGAGCCTGGTCCGCATCGCCGGCAGTAAGTCGGGCTTGTTCCCGGTGAGAGTTGGACTCCGCCAAGGTTGCCCTTTGTCACCGATTCTGTTCATAACGTTTATGGACAGAATTTCTAGGCGCAGCCAAGATGTTGAGGGGATCCGTTTTGGTGGCCTTAGGATCGCGTCTCTGCTTTTTGCAGATGATGTGGTCTTATTGGCGTCATCAGAACGTGATCTACAGCTTTCGCTGGAGCGGTTCGCAGCCGAATGCAACGCGGCCGGGATGAAGATCAGTTCCTCCAAATCCGAGGCCATGGTCTTGAGCCGGAAAAGGGTAGAGTGCCCTCTCCGGGTCAGGGAGGAGGTCCTACCCCAAGTGGAAGAGTTCAAGTATCTTGGGGTCTTGTTCATGAATGAGGGAAAAAATGGAGCGCGAGATCGATAGGCGGATAGGTGCAGCATCTGCAGTGAAGCGGGCGCTGTACAGGTCTGTCGTGGTGAAGAGAAAGCTGAGTCAAAAGGCAAAGCTCTCAATTTACCGATCGATCTGCGTTCCTACCCTCATCTATGGTCACGAGCTTTGGGTTGTGACCGAAAGAATGAGATCTCGAATACAAGCGGCCGAAATGAGTTTTCTCTGCAGGGTGTCTGGGTTCTCCCTTAGAGATAGGGTGAGAAGCTCGATCATCCGGGAGGGACTCAGAGTAGAGCCGCTGCTTCTCAACATCGAGAGAAGCCACTTGAGGTGGCATGAGCATCTGTTTAGGATGGCTCCTGGACACCTCCCTGGTGAGGTGTTTCGGACACGTCCCACCGGAAGGAGGCCCAGAGGAAGACCCAGGACACGCTGGAGGGACTATGTTTCTCGGCTGGCCTGTGAACGCCTCGGGATTCCCCTGGAAGAGCTGGCCCAAGTGGCTGGGGAGAGGGAAGTCTGGGCCTCCCTACTTAGGCTGCTACCCCCGCGACCCGACCCCGGATAAGCGGAAGAAAATGGATGGATGGATAGATTTTTCCCTTAAAATTATACATTCTCTCAGTTTAAAGTTTTGATCTGTGATTTGTGTTCTATTCTGAATAAAATATTAGATGTTGGCATCTCCACATCATTGCATTCAGTTTTTATTCACAATTTGTATAGTGTCCCAACCTTTTTGGAATCCGGTTTGTGTGTGTGTGTATATATATATATATATATATATATATATATATATATATATATATAT